ATATTTCACCAGTAACATACGGAGATCACTGGATTGGTCGAAATGGACCTCACTTATGGCCTGTTTGATCACTGGACTTAAACGCCCTGGAGTATTTCTTATGATGCCAACTGAAGTTATTAGTTCATACTACTCCAGTGGAAGATGTGGAAAATTTGAGAAATCGGATAATTGCTGGGTGTAACGCAATCAGAAACAATTTTGGTGTTTTTGAAAGAGTTCGGTAATCGATAAGGAAAAGATTGGATTTTTGCATCTGAGCAGAGGAAACTCATTTTCAACAGTTCTTCAGATTGAGAAACATAACATGTAATTTTTGGTAATAAATGTTTATTGTCGAAATTTTTTCTCGAAACCTTCCTTTGTATTATAGAACCCGAAAGCACGATCTACTAGAGTCTTAATGATTCCTCCTTTAGTCGATTCATGGTGGTTGAACTCTAATAGACGGTGTTTTCGTACTCTGTAATAGGAAGAACGAACTAGGCATCATCAGAAATGATCTTCAATGATATGGTCACTCCGAAGTGATGGTGAAACAAACTTCGTCTGAAACACAGCAAGAGCCTCGCAAGAAAGAGAAGTTATCACAAACAGTACTTGCACTTCCATAGGTACATCAGAGGATTGTCGAAAAGGATAAGAATAGTTGGGTCCGAATACAACATCAGAATATGCTTCAGATCCGGAAACACTATCCGTAGCAGATTCACGAAAAATAGGCCACAAATCGCGGAATGCGATTCCAAAAATTGCATTTACTGAATACCCTGCAAGTGAAACTAAGAGGCCATTGGAAGACCGCATAACCTCGTTTTGTGCACAAGAAACGCACAAAGCGAGGAGAAACCAACAAATCGGAAATAGCAGAATATGTATAGACTCATCAACATCAACATCAAGTGGTCCCAGGCTGAGATCATCTACAGGAAGAAACACTGGTTCAGGGGGAAATTCAAAGAAGCCACATACATGTTGTCCAACAACAAATTCAGCCAAGGTAACGTAGAAAGCTAAAAACGGCCAACTCCCGCCAAAAGGTCAGCTCTTAATAAACTGGTGAAGCGATGATAGGGTAAAGGGGATAGGTGAAATCACTCGCATGAACTATAAATAGTCATACTTTGGAGAAATAAGTCCCATTATCACCAAAAAAACGATTGTGTATACTAACAATCGAGAGTAACTAGGCTTGAAATCTTTTAATTTTCATTTCTTTTTGTATTATCAAACCTTGAATTTTTGGCTGTATTTTATCTATTTGTCATTTCATTTCGGGTTTTTTTTTTGCTAAATATAATTGTTATTGTCAACTATTCATTTCAATTTTATTGATTATTTCAGGGATATCAAATCACTTAACATAATATTGAAGAATGGAAGATCGAACTGATGAAGAAATATGATTTCGGAATTTTTGGGTTTTCCCGTATATTACCGAAGTTCGATTTCATTGTATCATTCAATCTAACGAAAATATTCAGAGGCAAGTTGAATGTAACTATCGAATTTCCTCTAGATGGATTAGAAATGAGCAATTATGCAGCAGGCAATAGGACTCCTTGTCGTTACAATCTATATGCACTCTCGAATCACAGTAGGTCTACTTACAGTGGTCATTACACAGCATACTGCATACTGCACGTGGCACGAATACAATAGTTCACACGTGTCACTTTATGAAAAGGAGTAAACTAGTTTGCACCTTTGAGATACCTGAGAAGATTTTTCTTATGTTATTTTGAAATGTTATTTTTGACCTGTTAATTTTGTGAACTAATTGTTGGTGTATTCCATTCAAGCAAGTATTTCTGTGAAATAGTCAACTTTTGTACGATTCAGTCGAATTTCTATCTTGTATATACATATAAGTAACAATCAATATAATTATTCATACCCACAAATAGACATACGTTTTTTATGAAGACTAATTCAGAAATGTTACTTCAAAATATGTGTTGTTAATGTTATGTGGAACAATAAAGCTAAATTTCACTTCGATAATAATATGTATACGCTAACTACTTTGCTGAATTATAATGAATTGATGTTGATCACCAATAACAAAATCAATAACGGAAAGATTTGGCTTCAAACAATAAACTTATTAGATATTGTTAAATTACGAAATTTTTAGGATCGTACATTGATAAAAGTCTCTGTTGGAAGACTTATGATGAGATGGAAAAAATGATAAAGAATAACATAATGAACTGTGAATTCAAATTGCCATATCATGTACCTATGTTGAATTTATACAGTGCATTCCATTTAAAACGAGCCACACTGAATAACTTTTGGAACAATGATTTGCAGGAAAAATAAAATAACACGTCAATCATAGTATATAGGGGAACACATTTCGACTTTTTCACATTTGATGTTACTTCTCCTATCGCACCCCAAAGCATGTCACCAATTTTTTTCCATGGGGATCATCCTATATTTGTTGCATTATCAGATGTTTCATGATGAGCAGATTTTAACAAAGTATAAAACATATGGTCTGAAGCTTACGGTTCGGGAGCTATTGGAGTTGAAAACGAGCCACCCTGAATGAATTTCTGTACAATCTGTTACCTAGATTTCATAAGTGTTTGTGAAGTATTCTTCAAAAAAGTCTTATTTTGCCTAGTTAAGTTTTAATTCGATATTCTCTTCATTTTGTATTTGTCTCATTCTAAAATAACGATTACCTACCAGGTGAAGTTACAATTGGTGTTTTGTGAATTCTTGAGAAGTAAGAACGCTTCGAGAATGGATTGAAATAGTGGGTTCGTACTACCAGAATTGAAATAGTGCTGCTGCCCGTATGTTCAATGATAATCATCCAGGAAGAAATGAACGATACAAATACGTTTCGGAATTATTGAAAAAATTTATGGAAACTGGGTCTGTTAACAATAAAAAGCATAACCGTTCAAGAGTTGTCAACGATGAAGCTATTAGTACTGCAGTTTCAGGGGACGTTGGATTAATGGAAAATTCGCAATCTCTCACTAAGTTATTTCGAGAATCAGGAATCAGTCGTACAAATGTTTTCAGGATCCTTCATGAGTACAAATTTCATCCATATAAGATTAGACTAGTTCATAAATTGAACGAAAATGATTTCGATAGACGTATCAAGTTTTGTGAAAGTATCACTGAACAGATCAATTTGCATCAGAATTTCTTGTATAAAATTTGATTTTCGGATGAATGTATGTTTTGTTTGAATGGTGAGGTGAATCGGCAAAATTGTCGATATTGGAGTGATCGAATCTTCATTTATATCGTCAAGTTCATACCCAATGACCTCAAAAACTGATTGTTTGGGCAGAAATTATAGCTGACCACATCATAGGATCTTTTTTTATCGATGATAATTTGACTAGTAATGAATATTTGGATATGTTGGAGAATCGAATGATACCGTGCATCAATAGTGCAATTGAAGAGAATACAAATTTATTTGGAAATGAAATAGTTTTTTAGCAGGATGGTGTCCCTTCTCAATATGCAGCTCCAGTGCAACAGTTTTTGGATGATCATTTTCCTGGTCGCTGGATTTGCAGAAGAGATCCTACAGAATGGCCATCAGGGTCATTTGAAGTCTGAAGTGTATGAGAAAAAATTAACAACATGAGAAGATTTGAGAGAAATTATCATAAGGCATTGCAGAGAAATAACTCCCGAGATTATCAACCATGTGCTCATCAGTAACATTGTCCAGTGATCAGATTTTGATTCAAGAATCAATAATTTTTTTTTTTGATTTATTGCTTCCATATTTGTCTCTAGACAAATGGGTGTTTTCAACTCAAATGATTTGTAGCTCCCGAACCATGAGCTTCAGACTATATGTTTTTTCCTTTGTTGAAATCTACTCATCATGGAGCATCTCATAATGCGGAATAATATAGGGTGATCCATTTTAAAAAAATGGTGACATGCTCTGGGGGTGCTATAGGGGAAGTAACATCGAACGTGAATATGTCAAAATGTGTCCCCTTGTATACTATGGTTGACGTGTTTTTTGTTTTTCCTGAAAAGCATTGTACCAAAAGTTATTCAGGTTGGCTCATTTTATATGGAATGCAGTTTGAAATATTCAATCAATTTCTCAATTGAAAATCTGTTATTTCATTGATTCTGTTTGAAAAAATGGCAAACACCCGACTGTGAATTGCAGTGAAATGAGTACCATCGATGATTATAATACAAGACAAACATAATACCTACTAGTCAAATCATATCGCTCAAATTCGATAATTGATTTAGGCGTTAAAATATGTAATAATCAAGAAAAATTGTAAGTATATCTAAAAAAAGTATTCGAATTATTTATTCTGTTCTAAACATTCCTGTTTCTTAGGATCAATAAATATCATAATTATTATAAATTTTTGGGACATACCTATCAGAAATTCATCATGTAACATTTAAATCGGTATTTTTTCAGGAAATGAATGAATATAACTCTTACCATTGAAAATTCTAAATAATGTGTCACTAATAAAACTCTGTATAATAGTTTTCCTTTCTGTAGTCGTTTTTTATCGCCAATATTATTTTATTCCAATCATTCTCACCTGTGTAAATCTCGCGTTGAAGTTTTTTTTATACAGTACAACTTATACAACATTTCATCCACAGCAATGATGAAACTGATACTAGGGTCATTTCAACAGAATTCGAATGCACTCTTTAACTGTTGACAGCCTCATTACTATCTCTCGTAATGATATTGAAAGAATGTCTGTCGAAATAATTTCGAAGCAATGTATGATTCTTTGTTATTGTTACCAAATAGATATGATTGTTGACATAAAACAAAGTAACATATAACCATTCATCAGATTTATGTATATTATTATCAAAGAATCGACATGATTATGGACATAAAATAAAGTAACTCATAACTGTTTATCAGGTATAATGCCCATAACTCTTTGAAAGAAAAATGTGATGTTCTTTCTAGAAGAAGCACTATACAACATTATTTCGAAATGTTCCAGGTAGGCCGAGCTGGAAAGGATACCGACGACGTCTCCAAAAAAGTATCAGCATTGCTCTTTGATATCGAGGAAATCATGACTGAATTGGAAAACTCGCCAACTATAGAAGAAAGTCACGTGGATCGCTTGGAAGAAGAAATTATGATGGCCGAAGAGAAACTTAAAGAAGCCAAACTGGAAGAGAAACTTCAGACTCTACAGAATGAACACAAATTTCAAACTGATCTCATTGGTCGATATAAAATCAAAATAGCCATGTTGCAGGAAGAGGTAGAAAATATAGAGGAAATTATTGAGGCCCTACCTGCTGGTTGTTACCGGAAAATAGTGTTGGAACCATGACATGGATTTGCGCTTATCACTCAGCCAAAGACTTCAGTTTGTTATTTAGGTGTTTTATATTAAAACTAATTTATTTCAACTTCGTAAATTTTCATTACTCCAAGTGTGCTAATTTTTTGATGATGAAAAATCATAAATGAGAAAGGAAACTCGAACCTCCAGTATGGAATGAATTCAAAACTAAATACTTCTTCTTCGTCTTCGGAAAACGCCAACTCGCTTGGCGAGTACAGCATAGTATTGTAGTTATTTATATCGTCTGTAAAGAGTACTTGTTTTGGAATAGAACAGCATTCTTCAACCTTCGATACAATATATTTTTCCATGAGAAGTTTTTGTCATACTGCACAGAAGAGATAATTTAAAATCCCAGAACATTTATATTTTCACTTCACAAATCACCTACCAATGCGCACCTGATTATCTAGATTGCAGTTCAGATGCAATTGTTATCAATTTTCCTCATATGTTTTTTCAAATACGTTGCAAACAGAATGTGCACACGAATAATACAATACGAGTAGTAATAATAATTTGCACACGAATAACTCAATAGTAAATATTCAGTATTTAAAGCTACTGCTTTTAGTTTATAATCATCCGTATAGTTTTCCTCATTCATTTGTATAGAGGTATTTTTGACGAAAGCAATATTGAAGAAGAATGTCTCTCTCTGTTCCAAGTAAGTACCCGAGTCAGATGTTTTTGGAATTATTGAATATGAATATTGAATTTTGGAGTATACAAATATAAAGTGAAAACTTTTCGCACAGCTTTTAGTGACTATACTCAACTCATAGAAGTTGACATAAATCAGCAAATTCAATAAGGGGAGATACATTGAGAATTTATCACTTATTTGACTGTAACGGTAACAGAAAATGTCAATTGATTCAAAATGATCCAAGAATATTTACGAATAAGTATACTAAAATTCCAAAATTTTCAATAATATTCACATTTTCTATCGTTGATCAAGATTATAATGGAAGCTTCATATGATTATAAAAATTTTGCAGACCATACATCTGAATATCTTCAATATCTTTCAGTTCTGTCCAATAAACTAAAACACAAAATGAAAAGAGAAGTGAAAATTTCTATGTTCTTCACTACTTTTATTTGTAACTAACGTTACTGCAGTTTCGTCCTATACGAACATTTTCAAACTTACACAATAAACTTGTATGGCCGTATAGGATGACACTGCAGTAACGTTAGTTACAAATGAAAGTGGCAAAAAACATAGAAAAGAGAGAAAACAGAGAAATTTTCATTTCTCTTTTCATTATGATTTCCTACCACGTAGTAACTAAAACTAATAATGAACAAACCTTTTTTTAATACGCTTTCATTAGCTTCACTTGTTTGTTTGTAACCGACTTCTTTGCACTAGATTTTGACTAACTTCAAACGAATAGATTTATTTAAAACTTTTTATATTCATCAAGAATCGGTGACAATACAATAATTGCATAAGTTCATCTTATTATCCTGATTAGGATGGCCAGGATTAAATAATTTCCTCACACAGTATCTGTGTGGGACACGTGAGAAAACCACAGTGTCTGCGCATACGTATATATTTTAAACTGAAACAAATGGGATTGAATTAGTAAGTCAAATTGAAAAGTGGAAAATAAATAATAGTTTGAAGAACTACAAAAACACGCTTTGATAGTATTAGAAACTGTAAAAAAATAATTCGAAACTAATTCGGGATTGTTTTCGATATCGATAATTAAGTCCTATGGTTTGATATAACTAATTACTTTTGATAAGTCTGAAATCAGAGTAAATCTATTCACAAAAAAATAAATTATGTTGTAAAAAAACGTGAGGTGCTGAATATCCATTGTAATGAATACTTGGTTAGGAGCCATAATAAAACATAATTTGAAGTTGCGAATTATTTTTCATTTTTCAGTTTGTGTTGCTATTGAAGCGTGTTCTTTTCTGGTTTTTGAAGCTATTATTCATTTCAAATATGATATGTCAAATCCAGTGATGAAATACCAGGCGTATTTTTTAAGAATCATTTCATAGTCGCAAATATGAAATTTTCCAGTTAATTTGATGCCACATACTTTCACTTCATTTTCTCTATTTTTCTGAATAATTGCAAGAAAGTGGCAAATTAGTCCATTGAGTTTATGAATTTCCAAAATGGCCTCCTCCTTGATCACGGCAACTTTTTCAATTGTTGCGGGCATCACATCGATTAGCTGTTCCTCACTGATGTTCTGGAATGCCGCCCTTACTTTATGCTCTAGTTCTTCACGAGTAGCTGATGTTGTATTGTAAACCTGAATTTTAATTATTGAAGAAATAAGAATTGAAACTTTCTATGTTTTTTACCACTTTTATTTGTGATTAACGTTACTGCAGTAACGTTAATAACATCATGATTTCCTACCAGATCTGGTGATCTAGAATATGAAAAACAAATAATTCATTTATTTATGTAAAGATATGACAACTCAAGAATGTATCTCGCAGGCCACTGAATAGGTCCATAAGTGCCAATCCACTTTTCTGGGAAGGTGTCATTCAGATGTTCTTTCACGACTTGAAAATTGCGAGGTGGCGCTTCATCTTGTTGAAAATAGATATCAACTTGGTTAGCCAGTGGCAAATCTTCAATGAAATCATTAATTTGATTTTCAAGGAACTGTAGATATCTTTTCGCAGTCCGTCGAAAACTATTGGCCCCAAATGTTTTTCTCCGATGATACCCATCCAGCAATTGAAACCAAATCACTTTCGAAATTTTTCTTCTTTTGTTTGAGACCAATACTTTTTATTATTCCTATTGGACATACCTAAGTTGGTGAATTGGGTTTCATCTGAATGAATAATTTTGAATGGAAAACTTACATCTTCTCTGTATTTAGTCAAAGAATAGTTGCAATAGGTCAATCTTCGTTTGTGCTCGTTATCGTAAAGATGTTGGTGTAGTTGGTACTTGAATGATCGATAATTATATTTCTGAAGAATTCTCCAAACGGACGAATAACTTATATCACACTCAGAAATAATTTGGCGAATTGGCGCCGTACAATTCACTTCAACATAGGCCAACACGGAAAATAATGCCGAGTAGGATGGCGAATATTAAGCAACCTCTAAGCATAAATTCGAGCTGTATCAGTTGCATTCTTTTTTGTTTCTCCGTAAATTAGCAACATGTCAATTTTCTCGTTTCTAGTATAATTTGCCATATCTAATTATTAACTACACAACAAATAAATGTTTAAAAGTGACAGCATATTCATTAGCCCATTTGTCTAGGTAGTCCTAGCAACAGCATCAACTGTTTGTCACGGATAACTAGAATTTCAGGACTTAGTGCATGAATATACCGAATACGTATATGTATTTGTTATTAAGTATGATCATTTCTTGCAATTATTCAGAAAAATAGAGAAAATGAAGTGAAAGTGTGTGGCATCAAATTATTCGTGAGAAAATGATATTTCACAAAAAGCCGACGAGCCACCCCCTTTCCATTTGAAAAAATCAAGTTAACTGATAGATGCTCGTGTTCTGTTTTTCATAATGGTAAAACTACTCATTCAAGTAACACTTCATTCAATGAATAGTTTACCACAGCACAACAACACGTGTTTCACTATACAATTGCTTCATCAGGCGTGTTGATACTAAAGTATGAATACAAGTCATTCTTATAAACTTTCTAACCTCACAGTGAGTTTGACCTCATGATTACAAAACTCAATTTCGTTTGAAGAAAGTCGATTTGTTCTAAATATTGAAAATAATATCAGTTTCACTTTTGAAGAATCACTTAAAAGAATATTTCAAGGAGATATATTCTTTAATGACTGATTTTCTTTATGATATATTTTTATAACTATTTTTAGAAAACTACTGGACTGTAATTAAAATATATAAAAACTTCTTACAGGGAAACATGAAACTGGCCCTGGCCTTTTCGAAAAGGATATTAATGAATGTTGCAAATATAAATATGTAGACAATGAAAGTGAAGGAAGCTGTAGATGCTCATGTAAACGTGAAAATATTTGCTGTTGCAGTGAAATGAAAATTTGCCCCAATGAAAGACAACGAAGTGAATGTGCTTGCCAATCTGAAAGCAGTGATGAAACAGAAAACAACATAAGTAACCGTATATATGATTGTATATGTAGATGTGGTATCTGCAGTTCTAAACGTGAACAAACGTCCAGAAGGGAAATCTGCAGATGCTGCTGCTGTTGTGAATACAATTTTGGAAATCGCTTCGCGATGTGCAGATGTAACAGCGAATGCTGTAAAAAAAATCAACCGAAATGTTGCTGCGATTGTGAAAATTGTCAGTTGATTTGTCGAAGAGGATGGAATAGTAAATTATAATTGTTATTAGTACCGTCAATTTGATGTTCGTAACATGAGAATAATTTTTGTTGTTAAAATTTGATACATATATATTATTCTCTCAATTTTATTTCACATAGCATGACATTGTGATAATTGTATATGAATAAATGGTGTTGAAGATAAATGAGTAAATTTTGGATCTTCATCAATATCTTTTGAACTGAGGGATAATATACCCAGGAGTGAATAGTTTTTTTCGTGGAAAAAGCTTTCCAGCTCTCTACTTGATTATTGGATGAAAATTTGGAAAACTTCCGTAGAAGGGATGAAAAATATAGTTGCAGAAAGAAGTCTTTACGAAAATGTTAATTTCATTCACAGAATTTGTTTTCAGTTGCAGTTGCAAACCATGACAGCCTACAACTCGTGCGCTGTCACATTTTTTCGTGATACAGGAACATCCTCACCGAACTTCAATTTCGAGCGTTAAAGAAATATTTTGTTGAGAATTATAATGTACCAACATGGTTTTGTATTACTAAGTACTTGGACAGTTTTGCTTGTTGACCTGATACAAACAATATTATTTTGTATCGTAGTGAATAAATAAGTAACTCCAAAACAAGCACTTTTCCCAATCGACACGGGTTTCCGGAGATGAAGTTTTCTTCATCTCCCGAGGATGAGTATCACATTTCTGGTGATTGGAAAAAATGCTCATTCTGGATTTATTAGACGCCAGAGGTTCCAATTTCAGCTTTTATTTTCATCTCATTCGTATCGCAATAGTCCCTTGAGGTTGCAATGCTTTCCAGAGATTTTAAGGAAGTAGACAAGTCAGACGGAAATTTTCATGTTATCATTATTTAACGACAGATTCATCAACATTACCACTCAGATAACTGGAGAAGAAGGAATCGGAATAAGGGTGGATGAACTGAAAAATAGGTGAGAATAGGGGAAATATTCGAAAAATACCGGCGATTCAGTTTCCTCAAAAGTAATAAATATTCATTCGATTCGAAATTGACAACCTTCCTTCATCACACTGAATTATGAATTGCAAAATTTCTCAGAGTTCTCAGATAATTCTTGACAACCAAGTGCGACTCCAGCTGATTTCTAGTTAACAAAGAATATATCTATTATTTTGGATTCAGAATGAATGATGTTTCCTTCAGTACTTCTCATTGTGCTGTTATGCTTAGCAAAATGTAAAGAGAAACTGGAATCGTTTCACAACGATTGGAATGATTACCAACCATTCCAAGGAAACTTCATTGGGATTTTGTGAATTTTTCAAGATTTGGACAGAAATTGGTTGTACGACAAAACATATTCCTCCCTCCACCTCGTAACTCGTCACTACACATTTACAGTTTTGTTTATGCTCACTCAAATGAGTAATAATAAGTTGACGTATAATTTATAACTTTGAATCTATTCTTAGCGCAACTTGGCTCAGATCGCAAATTACACCTCAATCATTTTTTTCGATGAACGTGAACTGACACTGCCTATATAGAATAACAGGCCTATTTCGAAATTCATTGAGTCGTTGTTTACCAACGTTGATATACCAAGTGATATTTCCTTAATTAATGATATTCGCTCACAGTCAATGATTAGAAAATTCACACCCAGATCAAGAGGATTTTTGAAATTTTATGTATCGCATCTATCGACATTTATTAGTTAACAGACCGTCCAATAAAGACTTTATACAGAATGATATTATAACTAACCACAATAACCAAAAAGTTTGCTCGCTGCATTCTGATTATGATATCTTTCAAACTGGCGAATTTGGGTTCCTTCCAAATATCTCCGAAACTAATCGGAATTTCATAAATTTCAAAACACTCAATGAATATTACTGGAGTTTTTCCCAACACCAAACCGTTATTTTAACACCTCGACATGTGTTTCGATCACCAAGTGATCATCTTCAAGAAGAAGATCTTACTCTTGAAGATGATCACTTGGTTAGACGAAGATCTTCCTCTAAAAGATGATCTATCCAATATGATTTAAACCACCAAATATCATTTGGGAGCTGACACCCAGTTCATCCGCCATCCCACGCACCGTTTGTGATAGGTCAGTCTCCACCAGGGTCCTCAAATTCTCGTCCTGTATTACTGTAGATCAATCACTTCAGGGCTCATCTCCTAAGCTAAAATCTTCAAAATTCAGCAAAGTGATCATCTTCAAGAGGAAGATCTTCCTCTAACCAAGTGACCATCTTCAAGAGAAAGATCTTCTTCTAACCAAGTGATTATCTTCAAGAGGAAGATCTTGCTCTAACCAAGTGACCATCTTCAAGAGGAAGATCTTCCTTTTGAAGATGATCACTTGGTTTGCAGAATTTCGAAGATTTCAGCTTAGGAGATGAGCCCAGAAGTGGTAGATTTACAATAATTCAGAACGAGAATTTGAGGACCCTGATGAAGACTGACCCATCATAAACGGTGCGTGGGATTGCGAAAGAACTGGGCGTCAGCTCCCAAGTGATTTTTAGTGGTTCAAATCGTATTGGTCTATTCTTCTTTGCCTTATTTGCGCAACCAAAAAGGTTCCTTTTTTTAATCGGATCGTCACGTGTAATGAAAAGTGGATTTTTTACGACAGTAGTATACGTTCACAACAATATTTGGACACCGATGAGCCACCCAGGCATTTTCCAAAGGCAAAATCCCACCAAAAAACCATGGTCAGCGACTGATGTGAGTTACTATAACTTTCTGAAACTGGGCCAAACCATCGACTCGCGAGCATAAAATTTTCATGCTGACGAAATTAATCGACTTGTGTTGTGTTGTGTTCATTCGATTGCGCTTATTTCGATTGAATTGAATAAATATTCACTGATATATTACAGTTTGGAGTGGACTCTTAAAAAAGGACAAAACTTTTGAAACAAACTAATGCATACTCGTATTTGTGAAACGCGGAGTCCTATTCATATTATTACTCTTTCGATACTTATCGCACCCCCGGGGCATGTCACCAATTTTTTCAATGGATCACCCTATATTGTTTCACATAATTAGATGATCCATGATGAGAAGATTTCAACAGCGTACAAATCATATGATGTAAAGCTTATGGTTCTGGAGCTACAAATTATTTGAGTTAAGAACAAGCCACCCTGAATAACTTTAGAAACAATGATTTGCAGGAGAAATAAAAAAACAGGTCAACAATTATACAGGAGGGCACATTCTGGAATATTCGTTCTCGTTCATTCGACAAATATGGAAGCAATAAATCAGAAAGAGAGATTTTTTATTAATTCTTGAATCAAAATCTCATTACTGGAGAATGAGAAGAAAAAAGTTTCTATAGTAATTCTTTAAAAACTTTTTCACCAACTTCCATACAATGATATAAACGAGCTTCCATTGTCGCTCTCACATCGTTGAGAATCTCGGGAGTTATTTCTCTGCAATGCCTCATGATACTCTCTCTCAAACCTTCTAATGTTGTTGACTGTATCTCATACACTTCGGACTTCCAATGACCCCATAGAAAAAATCTACAGAAGTGAGATCCGGAGACCTTGGTGGCCATGTTCTAAGTCCTCTTCTGCCAATCCAGCGACCAGGAAAATGATCATCCAAACATGGTCGCACTGGAGCTGCATAATGAGGAGGTGCATCATCCTGCTGAAAAACTATTTTGTTTTCGAATAAATTTATATCCTCCTCAATTGCCCTATTGATGCTCGGTATTATTCGATTCTCCAAAATATCTAAATATTTATCTCTAGTCAAATTATCACCGATAAAAAAGGTCCTACGATGTGATCTTCTAAAATTTCTCCAAAACATTCAGTTTTTGAGGTCGTTGGGTATGAACTTGAGGGTATACACTCCAATATCACTCCAATATCAACAATTTTGCCGAATGTTTCATTTATAGATATCTCGTTTCGAGAAGTTCTCATCTTAGCGAGACAAAAGATGTAAGTTGGGTTGCCTACTACTCATTATCGATGGCAATATATGAAAATTATGAAAATTACAGTAGGTTTTCATAAACGCTACAATATATGTATATAATAATTCTTGAAAACCTGATTTTTTTTTTATTTGGTTATTAGAAGCATAATAATGGAACAAGGATAAAAAATTGGTTCACTTCCACAAAATATCTTTGTACTTGAGTTTATTCTTTATCGCAGTGAGAAATAACATTTTCGGATTGGATCACGGCTTACCATTGTAATTGAACCACTTCCAGAGCACTTTTTTACGTAGAATTCAATGGTGTAAATAACTTATTTTTCCAAATGAGATATCAATAGTTATTGAGCGAAAACTATTTTTTAATGAGACACCCTGTATATTCCTGAATATTTTAATGAACCTTGAAATTACCTTTTCATAAATGTAGCACACTTGATTTTTTGCTAGTCATCTTTGATATACAAGTAGGCATTGGACGACGCGATGATAAAACAGGAAGAAATTGTTCGGTAGGAGCTATCAAATCTTTGGGAAGCTTTCCACAGCAGTAATTAAAACGCATAATATCAATAAAACTGATAACGATTTATACTATTTAATAATGACAGAGAACAAACGAAGACATATATTTTTTTCAGAGGTGTTCTCCTACATACAGGCGACACCTTTTCTGAACGTTTTTTGCCGAATTGATTAGTTCAATAAGAGTGAGAAAAGCAAAACTTTGCATCACTACCGCTTCCAATTCGTATCTAAAATTGGTCGACAATTCGAAAATGAGATCATATTACCTTCTTCAGAGGTAGAACTCTTTAGGCGTTAGGTCTGGTGACCTGGCCGTTAATATCCCATTTTTCATAATGCTCATACATGCAGGAACTCAGAAACGATGATAGATATAGATATGCGTTCTCATCATCATGTTTGTCATAAAATTCAACACTGAGACACAGCTACCAGTTTTCATCTATCTAGTTTGGAAAGAGGAGTTTCCCTTCAAAATTGTTTAATTTGGTCCACTATTATTAGGGATGATAGCGTACCTCCCATGTAATTGAAATTTTATAGCAATACCTACACATATGCCGTTATGTAGCGTTGCTATGAATGGTATCGATTTCTATTCCATAGCAAATGTATGTTGTATCAACTAAATTGAAACAATCGAATGAACTTTCTACATTTGCTAACTTTATTTTCATTGCGTACATGAGAATTTATTTTATTCCATAATTCAATCACACTCATTATTTGAACTGTCACCAGTTCATCATCACCCGCTGTTGATCACAGTCGAACCGCATTCTCTACAAAATCCTATTCGTGTGCAAGTGGTTTGCACGCGGATCTATGCACACGGCACTCTTGTTAATTATCTCGCTATATAATAATAGTACATCATTCACGAACACTCATTCATTGAACGATCACAAGTACTAGTGAATCTTTTATCTCAGATCAAGACCTTTTTTTAAACTAGTTTAACAACATGTCTTCTGCTTCAGGTGAGTTAAGTTTATGTTTATTGTGATAATGGATCTACATTATGAAGAAAATGATATGTATAAAGATATTAATGTTCTGAAAAAAAGTGTTGTGTTATTTTGCATTACGATAAATATTCTGAGGAATAAGTATTTTTACTTTTTCAATTTCTCATGAGTATTAACTATTTTTGAAAATTTGACATGAATTCTTGATGAAAACTATGGGAGAGATCTTGAGGGTCGTTTGGAGTATTTCTCACTGTGACGGATATTGACAGTTTTTAGTACGTGTTTCTCATTTTGACTGATACAAGTATAAATTCAACATGTCTTTGATAATTGCATAGAATCTTATTGCCACTTTATACAGCGCAAAATATTTTACTGTCAAAATCAAAATGGAATCTATAGTGTGTCCAGTAAAAAATGTAACTTCTAGTCAAAATAAAATTTTTACAAGTTCTGTTCTTTCAACGTGAATTATAAATGTTCAACGTCTATTCTTTCATAGTGGAGCAAACTGAAAATTAATTTAAAACTTTTAATAAGAGTATAGTATTCATGGTGTTAGGTATAGTGAAATTCTCATAAACGTTTGATATTTCTGGGTAAATAAATCGGAATTTTCATTTGCATTATATTGTTGTCATCCACTATAAAGTTGGTTATTTTCGTTGCATTGGAGATTGCACAGCACAATCCCCCACAAAAAGGTCTGACCAAATGACCAGTTATGGTATTACCTATTTTTATATTTTCTTCACAGTGTGAAGGATCTGAAATCATCAGAACAAGATGAACTATAGAAATTCTAAAAAGCCTCAGAGTTCATTTTGAACTTTGAAGATCAGAGATATATCAACAGAAATGAACTGTTTAAAAAAATCTGTTTTTCCGTTAATCTACTAACATTTCCCAAGGTTGTTCGTGAGCTTTTTTCTGCTGAAGTTGACAGAGCTGCGGGGCTCTTAAGTTTTATGAATGAAATTTGAAATCTATTTCCTGACATTGTATTTACAATTCTTCGAACATTTGCTGAAGCATAGTGCAGAAAAGACTATTTCATTCATTAAATATAATATTTAGTACAACAAGAGTGAGTTTGATGAAGTAATTGATGAATTTACAGTAATGAAAGCAAGAAAGAAATGAAGAATGTGTAGGAAAACCATGAATACAAGGAGTACAAGTTATGAAACTAAAATCACAGTTCTAAATAGTGATACAAAATTTCATATAAAGTGAAAGGGGTATATTTTAGAGAGAAACGAAATTTTGAGAAAGAAAGGATTTGGTTTTCTACTTCGCGCATGATTATACAAAAAAGGGCGAATCTTCCGAAGAAAATAAGGAAGTAATTGATTCCAAAATAAACTCCTTGAAAAGATGTGTGAATCATGCAAAAAAACAACTTTCAGACACAAACTGGAAGAGAAAGTCCTCTCAAGTTTATTTTGAGATCTATTGCTTCTTTCTTTACTTTGGAAGATTTTCACATTTTTTGAATGAAAAACTCACATTCATAAATACGTTCCATAATAAAATATTTCGAAATATCATTTCATTAATTCGGACTTGCATTGTCTAATATGATATAAATTGATTGGAAATACCTGATAGATTCTGTAAAAAATTAAAAATGAAANAACTTTGTTAATAATGAATATTTTTTCATGAAATTTCGGTCACACCTATTTAGAGGCACTCTGAATCCAGTGGCGTAGTGATTTTTTCAATAAAAAATCGCTAATAGAAAATCCCGATTTTCGACTAAGAAAAAATATCGTAGTATGCCCTGAAACTTTGATAAACAATTCAAATTTTGTCCCAAGGTAGATCTTTTAGTACATGATATTTCAAAAATGAAATTATTGAAATCGGTTTACAACTTCAAATTTTAGGGGGGTGTTTCCATTAAAAATGGGTCACACTGTATTTCAATTTTATGATTTTTGTTTGTTGCTTGTATTTCATCGTAATTTCAGTTTTTTGCTCAATATAGTTGTTATTTTTCTGCAATTTTTTTTAATTTTCGATTTCCAATACAAATCATGAAATTATAAAACAACAACAAAAATTAATTGGCGCTCCGGGGCGACTTCATTGAATCCAGTGGCGCATTTGCTTTTTCAGCTGCAGGACAAGCCGGAAAAACCTGTATCACCACATCATCAGAAGATCTTGATCTGCCAATGTCCTCTCTTTTATAAAACAAAATGTAGGCTGTCTCCAGAGGTTCCAATAAATTCAATACATCGCCAGAACACTTAGTGACACAACTATCATCAAAGTTTCATAGATTTCAAATTAATTTATATCATTTCAGACGATGGAAGTCCGAATTGATGAAATGCACCACTAAACGTTGTCAACCACCTTCAAACAAACATAGAAAGATATTGTGTAAATCGATACAAAAGTCTAGGAAAAATTAAGAATTTACTCATTACGTTATTGCATGTTGTTTATTTACTTGAAAGCTGAAACATTTATTGATTCTTTGCGACGATCTTGATGTTTATTTGAGATTGGTATTATTTGAGTTATGTCAACAATAATTCAATAAACTAGTCAGCAGCACTGAGTCAGCTATTTTGTAGTGGTAGAAAGGAATGATGAATCAAGGGATGTTGGTTGGAGAAGATAAGTCGTAAAATATGCCTTGTTCACATGCCTGTTTCAGAAGAGCGTATCTAGAAGATGTATTTAGATGATTTTCAGTAAAATTTGTGTGTTTAGCTGGATTTAGACCAATTGATATATAAATGAGGATGAATTACATTTAATATTTTGCTGGCACTTTGTCGTGACATTGACACTGTTCTTTCGTTTTTTACAGAGTCATCTTGCTGCAATAAAATGAAAACTTCAACTGTCACGAAGATGTGCAAACTGAAAACTGCTGAGGGATTGGTAGACTGTGAATGCATCTGCAAGTGCACCCGCGATGTACCCTGCAAATGCAATGGAAAATGCGATGGCGATTGCAAGAGTTCCGAATGTGCATCTTGCAATTGTGAATGCGAATGCACTATGGAAACTGCGAAACTTGGTGATGATGGAAAATATCGTTGTGAATGTGCCTGTGTTTGCTGAATATTTTATAAAACATTTCCAGAAATGAATATAATACTTTCTCATATCCTTTTAAGTAAGACTGTATAATGAGCATGATATTTTTTTAATAAATCAATTTTTCATATTGTGTTGTAGCCGATTAATTTTTAATAGCATTTTATCATGAAGGGGAATCGCCGAAAAATTTAGCAATTCAGTATATGAAGTTTTTTTTCATTTTCAGAGTTGAAAGAAAATAGTTTTCCTGCATAAAAATAGGTCATACCTACAATGTTTATTACCGAATTTTCTACGAAATTCATGGGAAAGAACAGTTTCGGCTTCAGTTGTCAAATATCAGTGAAATAAGTAGTCAAAGTAATACCTAGAAATCTTAGATTGACACTCAATTTTCACGAATATAAAAAACTCTTCAAATTCATAGTGTGATATCAATGGGATATTATATATAAAAATAAAATGATTCCTATAATGATCTGATAACATCCGTGTTTAATCTACTCAATGGGTATCGATCTATTCTAATCTATCACTTGTGGGGTTTCATTATTTTATAAAGTTAGGTCATGTTGATATGTCAACTGAGAGTATCACTATCGATTGGTTTTGTAACATATTCCCCAAAAAAGTCAACAGTGAAACAATAATAGAAGCTGGAATAATATTCAGTAAAACGCAAGAAACAAGCTTCATGGATGTGTATCAACTAAAATCAAGGATGATTCATAATTGAATGAATGCAATAAAATTAATTCAATCTATGATTCATGTTAGAAATGTCTGCCACTACTCTCCTTATCGAATCTTTCTACTTCTCAACTTCCCCTATCACAAAACCATTGTTTTAACAAAAAACACAAAATAAAGTGGAAATACTGAAAGTGGTGGTTGTGCAACCTGGTGGTAGTTTCTGAAACTATCTACATTCTTTGTGAAATAATTTGGAGATTCAAAAAGGAATCTGTAAAAAAATATTCCGTATAGTTTACTGCGTCCCAAATGATGGCGCTGTATTATAATCGATGGAGTCATAAAAATGAAGAGGNCTATTGACCTTACAGGAGCATGCCGTTGTGATGAACTCCAAAAATTAAAAATTGATGACATGGAAGATCTTAATTCGGCCCTTTCAATGAAATTACTCGATACTAAAACCAAGGTTCCTAGAAATCTACAAAAAATATGTGAATCTTCGACCATGCACAAATGAAACACTTTTTTTTAATTACAAAAATAACAAATGTACGAAACAGCCTGTGAGGTTGAATAAATTTGGCACCATAGCGAAAGAAATAGCGAAATTTTTGCAATTACCGAAATCTAAATTATATACTGGCCACTGTTTCCGAAGGTCATCTGCGACTATTTTAGTTAATGCAGGGGCATATCTTCCAACTTTAAAACGCCATGGGGGTTGGAAGTCAAGCAATGTTGCTGAATCTTATATCGACAACTCCATAGCTAACAAAATAAAAATTTCAAAAAATATGGTAGAATCCATTCAGCCTCCAGCGCCATTAGAACCTGAACACAACAATGCTGTGAAAGCTCAGTACGTTTCCCCATCAACTTCAACTTCGACACATCTAATATTTTAATTACCGAAAACATGTTGAAACAAAACGACCTACCAGTTATTACTTTACAAAATTGTTCAAATATAACTGTTAATCACTATTTTGAATAAAATATAAAAATGACTTAAAACATGTTGAAACAAAACGACCTACCAGTTATTACTTTACAAAATTGTTCAAATATAACTGTTAATCACTATTTTAAATAAAATATAAAAATGACTTAATGACATACAAGTATTATTATATATGTATTTTAATTTTGAATACTTGAAAACAACGTGACCGTAGAAAAAGTACAGTGTACAATGCGTGAGAAAATGACTTACTTCTCACTTGCTTCATTTGCGGCACTCGCCTTCGGCTCGTGTCAACAAACTTCTGCGTTCGTGAGAAATATGTCTTTTTCTCACTTATTGTACAATATACTATTGATGTCAGATAGATCAAAAATTTATAAATTTTTCACATATAGTCAGTGGGCATACTTGAACACTGGCTGTCAATCAAATCATCTTAAGGAACAATTCGTTCAGGCCAGTCTCAACTCCCTACATTGTAGGTTAATGGACTGACACCCATCAGAAAACAACTATTCCCCTGGCTAATACCACGAAGGGCGTTGAATTATATCCGACAGGTGTCAGTGCAGAATTATTCACTGAAGTTATTCCTGCATATGCTGTTGGCGATACAACAGCCGTAATAGATTTTCAATTATTGCAACACACTTGCAGACCAGTTTCGGGCTGTTTGGGCACTCGTCAGTGCAAGGTAGTGCCTATCATCAACGTAAATTCGATGATTTCCGATGATTGGAAAATAGAATTCCTTCAGAGTATCATTCCTCGAACTAGGCTGAAGCGGACAACAAACAACAGGTTCATCATCGTCCCTAACTAGGTAGGAGGTTCACTGAAAATATATATTGGTGACCATTTGATTTTGAAATAATAAATATTAACCGTGTAGGAGAAACTATCTCAGTGAAATGTCATTGGTAAATTAGTATTTATTTGTTATAAAGTAATAACTCAATAAAAATTAATAAAAGATGAGGTAACTGATTTACATGATCGTGTATGAAATTTTGAGTAGAAAGTTTTTAGATTTCTTCTCTAAATGAAGAAGAAAGCAATTGAGTTCAACATAAACTATTTGTAAAGATGTGTGGATGTATGGAAATTATTTTCGAATACGAAACAGAAATAGCCGCGAATTCCATGAAAGAAATGTACTTTCTAAACAACTACTTTCAAATGAACATCGAATTATAGAAAAATCACTTTTACCTATTCAATCGCACATTTTCTTTCGTGTAATTCAACGTTCAAGTTGAAGTAGTTATTTGGGAAGTGCTTTTTTCCAGTTTGTATCATAAAGTAACTTCTGTGCATAATCTAAACAACTTTGTTAAGAGTTTATTCGTAGCTTAATTTCTTTCTTCCTTCTTTCGAAATTTTCTCACATTTTCTGTTTGAAGATAGAGAAGAAAAAAGCCAAAGTTTTTCTCAAAAATTATCTCTCCTAAAAATTATATCTCTTTCAATTTGAACATGCCTGTATTAATCCACATTTCATATATATAGTTACTTACTGCGAGATCAATATAGGCAACACACTCATCAGCAGGTTGCAAAGGTGAGAGTATATCGTGTAGGAATTAAAATACGTGTAGGTACAGGACCGGAATTGATAATTCATAAAGTTTTAAATATGATTATCGTTCTTTTCATTTAATGTCGTTTTCTGATTATTTTTTCAATATGTATCTATAATAAAAAATAACATAACAAAAATTCACTCGTTGACATCGAAAAATGACGTACCGAAATGGAAAAATTACAAACAACTACTTGTTAGATTTTACGATAAGGAAATATATTTAATAATCAGGGATTTATTTCCATATATTGTCAGTGAAAGTTGTGTGACTTCTTAACTACTCCATTAAAAATTGAAACTAGTTTATGGATGTATCATCTGGCTTTCTAGTCTAAAATGAAACTTTATCAACGGAAGTCATCACATTTTTCAATCAGTCTGATTAATTTACAAGTACCCGTGGTGCTACCTCATAAGATTTTGAATAATCTGTCATAGGGTGCATAAGAAAAATACACAATAATCGTAACAACGAAAGTTTTGAAATAGGTTGAAACGAGACTTTCTCGTAAATTATTTTGTTAGGGTAACAAGATCTGTTAAAAAATCTGTTTTCACGTTAAACAGCTCTCACCCCCCTACGAACGTCAACTCTCAGGAGTCGAAACTTGTGCGAGCTAAGGATTACTGAGGTCTTACCCTTTAACGTGTGATTCCTAGCGCGTTACGTTTTCATCATAAACTTCCTTCATTTGAACAACATCAACAAACCAACTTACCTCAAATTTCTAAGTTGTTCGATTGCAGCTGGGGTGTATTGGTTGTAGACTGGTTGATTGGAATTTGGATAAATGTTCATGGGAGGTTGGTACTGGTCTTGAGGCAATTCATCCGAAACTTGGAGGTAACCCATATAAGGTGCTGAAAATATTTTTATCAATAAACAAGGTCGTAAGCACCCAGTAATTTATTCTTGGAGGGTTAAGTGCTTGAATTTTGAATGTTACGAAAGTTTTGTTCTTAGAGGGTCGGTATAATATAATGAAAAAATTGTATGGTGTCGTCAAGCTCATTTCAAATGTTAGTGACGTCACGACCATCCTTTCTACTCGATTTTAGAAAATTGTAAAAAATATAAAACAAGATACTACTTTTTTGGGAAAGAAAGTTTTTGGCTTTCTACTACTCCATCTGATATTTGGTTTACAAGCAATTCTAGATGAAACGTTTTTACACCTATACTTCTTTTGATGAGTTACTTCTGATATTGCATACAGGTGACCATGTTCGGACACTAACTAATCTAAGATGGTGTCAAAAAATGGCAATCGAAAAGTTTTATTGAATAAGGGTAGATAGAAATAAAATGAGTTGGCAAAATCACATTTAAATACTTTCAGGTACTTTTGAACCGGCGTCAATTTCTCGGCAAGCACTTTCCGAAGCAAGGATTTTTGATCGAATCTAACGATATTATCTATTTTTATTAGGAAATTTTGAGCTAATTTCAAAATTTTCAGTTCAAAGTAGAAACTTCGATATCATAGTTGAAATTTCGATTTCAAAATAAAAATTTTGAGACTGTAGTCAGAAATTTTAAACGAAAGTCGAAATTTTCAGACAGAAATCAAAATTTCGAGTTCAAAATTTCGACTTTCAGAGTCCGACTTTCCAAGAAACAAAAAATATGAGGCCCTTTCGTTCTCCTGCGTATTCTATATGCTTTGTTTAATTTTAATATTCATCAAAAACTGTGTGGTACTTTTATTAAGCTTTCATATATCCACTGTTCTCTTTCCCTAATATTTGACATAATCCATCCTATCAATAACCTAAATCAAACAGGATATACCGAACAAAGCAAATTTATAACTCGTAAAGTAAACCTTAGTCATACTCCTAATAAAAATTGGAACAGAAATTGAACTATTGCCGTGCTATTTGCCTACTTTCAATAAAGCCGTTTACGTGTATTTTCGAATGATGTACGACAGCACACCTCTTATCAGGGCTTATCATCGTCTATTTACACAGTACTTCAGTTTTTATCTAAATATAATATCAGCGAAGGTATATTATGAAATAAACTTATTGCGGAGCAAAGTATCACTCATTGTTTCTCATTGGTAATATGACGGGTATCGTGGAAAATTTCCCTGCTTTGTACTATCCAAGCTGAATTTAGGAGAGCTCTGTAACAAGTTTCTCGAATCCACATATTTCCACAAATATAATGGTTCTGGAAATACCAAACTGCTTTGGGTTTCATGTATTTGAAATCTAACAGAGGGGATTATTAGTGAGACTACACTTGTTTCGAGTTTTTCCTAAAATAGTTACCACAATGGGTAAAAACATTATATTAGTAGGGTGGCTTTACACTCAAAAAACATCAAACAAATCTAACCTAGTCGATATAGAAAAATATAATTCAAAAAATTATGAATGGACTGAAAAATAGAAAGTAAAATTTTTCAGTTTATCCTTACATATATAGTTTTTTCAATAAATTGATGGATGTAGCCGTTACTACGTGGTAGGAGATCATGATGAAAAGAGAAATGAAAATTTCTATGTTTTTTACCACTTTTATTTGTAACTAACGTTACTGCAGTTTCGTCCTATATGGACATTTTCAAACTTAAACAATAACCAGTAACCAATATGATACCAATAACATTTCATTTCTCTTTTCTTATAGTTTTTTATTATGAGGCATAAATGAGATTATATTTCTCATTAGATCTCGAAAAAATTACTAGTGACCATTGAATTCGCTTCTCAATCTGCAAATTGAATATCCAGGAAGAGTACAAAGAAACACACAATACTCAATAATTTTGGCAACATAGTATCAGTCCCAATAAGTTAGAAGCATATGGAAAACTTTCCTTTTATTGATCTCAGATCAAAAATGTGTTCGATACACCTGGAACCTAAAATGCATCCTTCGGTTATTGAATTTTCTCAGGTCGTATACAAGGATCGTCAAAAGAGGTGAATGTAGCTCAAGAGTAAAGTCCCTTCATTTTTGACAATAACTATTATAAATCATTATAGGAAAAGTTAATGAGATTCGAAAACCACGTCAGATAAACAATTGCATCAATTCGCTATGGAAAACAAGGTTTTGTTGATTTAATTCTGTTGATTTCAATAATATTTACCTCTTGAGAATAATGAAAATATTCCTTGAGAAACATTGTTAATTGATGGAAGGTCATATTTCAACGTTATTCATTATTCTGATCATATTCTTTCAATAACGATATTCGATTGTCAAAAATACGGGTAGGTATATACTTTTCTCAAGAGTAAAATTCATATTTTAAGACAGACCCGAAAGAATTTGATAACTATTGATTGTAATGGGTGATTTTTTAAGAGGTATAGGATTTGATTTTCAAAACAACACAACAAATTTGAAAACATATATTTATTGGGATCGATAAAACAATGAATATAATTTAATGTTTGAAGATGATTTCATGCAAATGTTGTCCGCGGCTCCGCTTTAGATGGCCCATGCGCAAGGTCCAATGCTTCAATGTTGGCTTCCAGAGCGTCAGTCGTTGCTGGTGTATCCCTGTGGACATGAGTCTTAACATGATCCCACAAGAAATAGTCCAAGGGCGTTAAATCACACGATCTAGGCGGCCAATTGACGGGCCCCAAACGTGAGATAAACTGTTCACCAGAGGCGGCTCTTAATTGGGCCATTGTTTCGCGTGCCGTGTGGCTTCTGGCACCGTCTTGTTGAAACCACATGTCAGGCATGTCCAATTCTTTCATTTTGGGGCATTGTCGTCTTTGAAGAAGTACGGCCCGATGATGCCACCGACCCATAATCAACACCAAACAGTGACATTTTCAGAATGCATCGGTAGCTCTTGCAATGCTTGTGGCTATCTTCACTCCAGATGCGGCAATTTTGCTTGTTAACGTATATATTCAACCAGAAATGAGCCTCGTCACTGAACACAATTTTTCGATAAAAATGTGGATCTTCCTCCAACTTTGCCAGCGTCCATTCACCAAATGTTAGACGTTGTGGGAGGTCATGTGGCTTCAATTCTTGCACCAGCTGTATCTTATAAGGTTTTACATCCAAATCCATTCGCGAAATTTTCCACGTAGTGGAGTAACAGAGACCCAATTGCTGCGAACAGCGGCGAATCAACATTTCACGGTCATTACGAACACTGGCGAATATAGCCGCAATATTTTCTTCGGTCCTCAGTCTACGTATGCGTGTTTGTGGTTCAATATCCAATAATGTAAACTGGGTTCGAAATTCCGTCACAAACTTCCGAATAGCTCCCTCAGTAGGCCAAAAAACTGCCCATAAATTGAAAGAAGTGCATGATGCACTTTCTTCACCGAGTATGAATTTTGATAATAAAATTTAATAATTTGCAAGCGTTGTTCATTCGTATGTCGATTCATGGTTGAATTGTAGACCAAACTGAACAAGTTTGACAATGACACAAGACACGATTCACGCGTGATCTGTCAAAAAGAGTGTGGCCAAAAAGATACCAGCAAAAAAATCACTCATTATCTTGCATTGCAATTGCTTGCTTCTCAAAAGTTTGGAACACTGTTTCGTACCAGAAAACTGTAAACACCTCTGCAACTTTTGATGCTTTATAAAGCTCAGATCAGACGTTCCTTGGAATATTGTCTCGTGTATGGAACTCCGCCTCTAAGCATACCCTGAAGCTGCTGGGTTCTATCCAGAAAAAAATCCATGCACCTGATTGAAGACACGAACATCACTTGAAACCTTGATAGTCTGGAACATTGTAAACAAGTTGAAGATTTGTCTCTCTTTTGTAGATACTTTCACGGGAGGTGTTCAAGTGACTTTGCACGTTTGATTCCACCAAGAGCGGTACATACCAGAAATACGCGACGGACTGTGGCTGCTCATCGTTTTGAGGTTCAACTCAGTACACCTCGAGCATCACTGTTTGGGAACTCTTCCATTTGGAGAACTGCGTTTATGTAGAAGAAACTTTCTGAGAACGTTTTTTCAAATGAATTCAATATCCAGCGATTCAATTCAACTTGAATCGCTAATTTCGCACAGGCACCGCTCTCAGAGAGTCTTAAGGATTTTCCTGCAGTGCTTGTGTTTTATTCTTAAAAAAAATTGTGTTACAGCTCTTGCAGGACTTTTCATGAAAAATAATAAAAAAATCTAAATGGTTTCAACTTACTGAGACACACTGTATTTTTAAAATAATTCAGATGACATAATCTGAAAAAGATATATTTTCATAGTATCAAGTTTCGAATATCTTCAATAATTAGTACCTACTCTGTACAAACATCATTTTAAACTCGATTCTGAACTTACCCAATCTGACTTGATTCGATGCTCCTGCGCTAGAAACGCTGGAAGAATTCTTTGGTCTTCGTTTACGTGTCTGGATGCCTTCTTTTTTCATACTGATCGGCCTGTTAACCTGCAGTGATAAATATATTTTCTAGATAATCTTCCACAGTTGAAAATTATCTTGTACGTATAACAGATAGTGTATCTCGTATTTACAAGAGATTTTTGTTATTATTATTGCCTCGTATCAAAAAAGATAACTTTTTGCGTATATGAACCCCGGATATGACCTGATATTTTGAAAATTATCTGATACTCCCGTATCGTATGAATACCGGGCCTATCTTAGATTAGTGACAGACGGCTTGTCTGTTTTTCATTGAAAAGTTATCTAACACCTGTTTGGAAAATTATGTATTTATCATTATTCGAAAGAAGATTTCGTTTACTATCGTAGAGATAGGCTGTATCATATTGTAAACTCCCAACGCCAGTGATTATTATTTAGAAATGTTTAGAGACGAGATGAGAACAGGTGAAAACTGTAAATGGGGTTGTTTTTCACTAAATTCCCCTCTATCGCGATAAAAAATCAACCCTTATGTGGGAAATCGACCATAAAAGGGTTTAATACTCCAATTTGATTTATTTTTGCAAAACTATGATGAGAGTCAATGAATACACTCTTAAATAAATATTACTGGAGTTTTATCCCAACACCAAACCGTTATTTTAACACCTTGACACGTGTTTCGATCACCAAGTGATCATCTTCAAGAGGAAGATTAAACTTCCTCTTGGAGATGACCACTTGGTTTTGTGTTGGAATAAAACTCCAGTAATATTCATTACTACATCAAAGGTTCCAAACACTGCATCACAAGTACACTCTTACATGTTTCTTCACAGTAACAGAAAAGGGTTGTCCGTAGATGGTTGTGACAAAAAGAAACTGATCTTGGTTTTAACGGTTTCTCCTTATGCACAACGATAGCGTAGGATTTATCTTAACCTCAGATTAGGTTAAAACAACCTTGTCCTCGAGGTTTCAGCAGAAGTTGAGCAACTTTTTTGCTGTTTTGGCAAACTATTTACTCAAATAATTTGAATGTGCTATTAATCACTGATAACGACAGAGATATTTAACCAAAAAAACTTTTGTTGATATTCCTTTTTTTCAATCAAGTAAGAAGATGAGTAAAACTAAATACTAACATGCCTTGTTTAAACGATAGATTGACTTCGGTAATGGTTAGCCCCTAGACCCCATTACCTGCAATTATGGATTATAAAAATCTAAACAAGTTATAAGGATTTAGTTGTAGTCATCACCTAATGATGCTAATTTGGTTAGAGATACAGCTGACGAGAGACAGTACATTCTGGTATGAAAAACGTGTTTTCATCAAATCAATTGCTTCGGTTTCACCAAATGTATCACACGAGTCATTAATTACTTCATCGAAGTCATAAATAATCTTTCTGAAAAATAAAAGGTACCTTAAAATCAAACTTCAGAAAGACAGAACTCTATCTGGCATAACATTTATCAGAAGTTGAAGTTGACCAACGTGTTTCGTCTTTTGAATGTCGTATCTCTCTATTTTCTTTGTTCTTTTGACAACATACATCCATATCACATGTGTAACCTGACATAACCTCAGTACTAGTAATAGTACTATCAACATAATTTTGCAAAGAAGAATATTATCCTCTCACCGATCAGATTCACTGTTTGATCTGCTGAACTTAGTTGAACTTATTGAGGTGACACCTCTTTTATTAATACTTCTGTTATTAAGTATTACATTGAATGAATGTGTGACTGTTTTATTTTCATCGTAATTCTTTTTTCTTGTGACTTCCTGATAGTCAGAAATAAGACCTCCTAGCTTTTCCCAAAATCCTTTGTTATTTTTGCAGTAACACAATACAAACGTGTAAAGCTTCAAATTTCTCAATGGTGTGTCTTCTTTGAGTCCATATGATTATTACTCGATCTGAAGGTAGTGATTCGTCATTTCCGGGAGATCAGTAGTTGATCAATTATTGTAAGGTGATATTAGAGACAACTAAGGAACACTTCACTATATTTGAGAAAGGGCAACTTAGGAAAATAGTCAACTCCAATATTTTGGTACAATGAAGAGGACTATCTTGACAACGATCACTGTAATTTATGTTACGAATATTGGTTCAGCAATAACAGTTATTTCAGCTAAACATTGGAAAACATTCAAATAAGCAACCGTGAATAATACAATGGAGCATAACATCTAAAGGCACACTTAATTCATTATCTATGATTGCGATCTTCATGCATAGAATTCAAGCAGCTGGCATTGGAAGTGCTTTGTTACATATAACACGAAACCAGACTTAAACCTTTTGTGTTAACAAACATATATTTACCAAAATTAATTCGTTCCAAATATTGACGGGTAAAATTCGTATTTATGTATTCAGAACTAATTTCTTGGAAGAAAAAAGTTTTATCAGACCATAAACTTGTGGAGTACTTTGAGTCCTTTACAATATATTACCAACTTTGTGTATTGTGTTTGTGATGTGTGTACACAATTTCGTTAGCGTTACATAAAATTTCTTTTATTTGCAATTCACTTATTTAGACAATCTGCGTAAATACTTGTTAGTAATATTCCTCACAACATACAGGAGAACAGTAAAAAGAACACATAAAACAACTTCATTCGGTCTTTAATTTCAGATTGATTTCGAAAGCATCAAAGGTATGATAAAAAGGGCAATGATAATGACACAATCCATGATTATGTTGAGTTTTTTAGAATTGATTTTTTTTAATCGAAACAAAATTCAAATCAAACAAAGTGTACGTGAGATATCATCGAACATTTGTATTCGTTTCAAAGACCTTTTGATGCCATTATGTGGAATATAACTATCTCCTGAACTATATATGACTTGTCATTATTGGTGTTGTTTACTACTAGTGTTAATTATCTCTATTTTCTTCAGATATCATTAGAGAGTAGAAATCAAACCTATTCTGAAACAATCTGTACTTACATTGTGTAATTTGAAGTATAGTCCACATGCATTACATACTGGTTCCCCTTGATTATTTCGTCGCCAAAGAGTTGTTGTATTTGTCTTGCAGTTGGCACACTGAACTCCGTTTCGTCTGTTTCCGATCTGAAATATCTATTGTTATTGTCTTCACCATCATATAATGGAACCAAATAGTGAGTTAACTGACTTTTTTTTCAGAAACGCGTTTACTTTCATCTGCATTTAACAATTTTGATAATGTCCCATCTAAAAATCATTGTTTCCATTACCTACAATTGAATTGACAACTTGGATATCCGTGATTTTATACCCACAAGATAAAACTTAATATAAATATCATACTAATTTTTTCAGGTAATGAGAAAGGTGATGCAATAATTAATTTGCGAGGTAGTTATTGATAACAAAAAGCAATAATTCTGCCTTACAGGAAAATGCAGTGTTTAATTGAACAAAATTTGAAACTCTCAACATGTTCTGATTCTTATGGAAAAAGCTTACTGTTTCCTGTTTCATATCGTTCTACTTCCATTTCATACGATTTGATTTCCCCAAATTGTATTTTGAAATCCGTAAAAAGAACAAGAAAAGAAATTCTTCCACCTTGATGGAATTAACTGCTTGCCACAGAAGTGTCGAACCAAGGATGTTTATATGCCTTTTACATCAACTACCTCTGAAGTATTTACTGATGCCTGCAAAGTTGACGAAGATATCGTCAAGAGATTCGAAAAGATCCTTGACAATTTCATTTCACCAATACCTTGTACAAGTCGACAAATTGTTGAAAGGAGTCGTTTGTGTTTAAATTCATTTGAACTACCATATTTTCTACTCCATGGAAAAAACTTGCATTCATTCCTTTATTTTGTCAAAAATATCAACACTGTTGCCGAATTTATTCACATCGCAAACTAGTTGGAAAACTGACATATTTTTGTGACTCTAGGCCTACATTAATTTAGATCAATGATACAGATATATAAGTATAATTAGATTTCCTCTTAGATACATTGAAATACATCCTTCAATTATTTCCACACCCCAGTACTTACAGTAGTTTTAATTCATTTCTAGCGATATATACAGTTCTCACATTTTTGGTTCCATCACCTAGGATTTGTAGACTAGAGAAAAAACTAGACAGTCTACGAGAAAAACTTCTGACACATTTTAAATTTTCAAATGGACTTATATGCAAACAAATCGATTGTGTTTCATCATTTTGAAATATTGTGGAAAATTTATCTCATATGAAAAAGGGTCGAACTTGATGAAAAAAATTATCCATCAAATACTTAGAAGGTTTTGCCAGTTCTATAATTGACACATGATGCACTGTTGGGAACCTTTGGTGTAGTAATGAAGATGATCACTTGGTGATCGAAACACGTGTCGAAGTGTTAAAAATAACGATTTGGTATTGGGAAAAAACTCTAGTAATATTCTATAATTGACATACCTAATTATAACTTTTATTATAGTAGACGGTATTCTATTATATCCATCAAAAAATCGGGTGTTATAAACGGATCTCAACAATTTTTGATTCATTCTATGGATCTTCTCCAGCCATAGAATTTTCTGTTCTTCGCTATGGAATATGAGCTGTGTGTTCTTTGAAACGAATTTCGATGGCTCGCTTGGTCTGACCGATATATCATTCGAAAATGCAAAGTCGAGGATATATGAAATGGACTGTGGGGACTGTGACAGAAACATATCGGTCAGACCAGGCGACTCATTTAAACTTGTTTCAAAGAACACGCAACAACACTCGACTTTTAAGGCCAGAAAAATCTAGTGTCATTCGGAAAACAGCCATAGAATAAATTGAAACTATCTGAAATCGTTGAGATCGTTATATGACACTGGAATTCTGGATGTTTTGATGCTTTAAAAAGTATGGAAACAGCAAAAAGTGCCATGAGAACAGTTACAAAGGTGCCATGAATACCTCTTGAAAAAATATCAATGAAAGGAGGTAAAATATAGCTTTTCCCAAAAATCCAAATGCAAGAAGACGAAATGAATCAAAGTAACAGTTTGAAACAAGAGGTTTAACAGAGATTTGGTTCTTAAAAGTACTTCATTGAATAGTGGTAAACAGTTCTTCAAATAGTGTTTGACATATTAACTTTCATATAAGTAATCGTTTTTGGTAGATTCATCTTTTGAATTAGGTACTCTTTTTGAATAATCGATAGATATCAAAGTCAGATAAAGGATTGGGTAATAAATAAAGAAAGTAAATATCAGATCCAGTTATGTATACTGATATAAAATATTTAGAGCCGTGTATTTTTTCCATGAAACTCTGATAGATTAACAAAACAAAATCGATTTGTGACATTTTAATATACGTATTCGTCAACTATTTCTGTTGTTTTGGTTCCAGTTACTTTGAATGATACGCAAACAGAGGTATGATGAAATAGGTAAAGACATTTTCAGTAACGAAACATACAGCTAAGGAAAAATTTAGTGCTGGGTTCCAGGGACACTAATCAATAAAAATGACAAAGTCACCGTCTGCATTGAATTCATTGTAAACGAAAAATTGTAGATAAATATCGCTTGATTACTGCCCCTGGATGAACAAAATAACCAAAGGCGTAAATGTTTTTATTATGGAAGTAAGAGTTCTTACAAAATCTTGTGTGATCACATTACATGCTCCGCACTAGGTACTTCTTATCGCTATTACTTGGCCTCAATTCGACTGAGTACACAATGATATCACCCAGGGCATGAATTGAAGTGGTTTTTCGGTGTAGATACTTTCTCGTTCAACTGATAAAATCGGTTCATTCGGAAATATATTGAAATTGTATCGTTCTGAATGTTCCCTTCGAATAGCGGATTCCTCAAAATTGATGTGACGCAAGCATCATCAAACAATATTTGTGTAAATAAAACTGATTCGCTTTTGTCACGTAGGCTAGTGCTCTGAAAATTTTATTTAGGGTAAACAGACAATAACTTTATATGGTGGACTATTTTTAGTAAAGTAAGCTGGAAAATTACGTTATTATTTTAAGGGTTTGACAAATTAATTTGATTTTTCAAATGCTTTGCGATCTGCTGCAATTACGTATAGAGTGACTGTCCAGAAAGTGGAAAAAATACAAACAGAAACTCGAAACAAAATATTTGTTTTTGCTGGAAACCTAATTTGCATGAAAATGACGCTAGTGACTTTTCGAATAACATAATTTTTCAAGTTTGAATCACTTTCGAAAGAGTATGTTGAAAATTCATTATTTAGAATGAGACACTCTATATATTTTACTGAAGATTTATATTTCGCATGTGTACAATGTTTGTATTACCTTAGGCTGTCTGTTCAAAAAGTAAAGTGATTTCTCAGAAAATATTCATTCAGTCATCAATTTCTATTTTACTCTCCACGCCGTCCTCTCATGGGTCTCTTCAATCATGGAAACAGAAGAAAGTCACAGGGGGCAAATCTGGTTGATACAGTGGCTGAGGCATGATTACGGTGTTCGTTTTGGCCATTATCGTGATACAAAAGGCATGAATTGTTTTTTCACGACACCAGACGTTTTCTTTGTATTGCTTCCTGTAAGCGGCGTGAGCATGTCTGGGACTTGCCCAATAGGGGGACATGATTGAGAAAAATGCTTGTTTTGGATGCTATTTCTTGGATTGTCTCAAAGAAGGAAAGCTATTGTCGAAGCAAGGTGAAGCAACACTCGAAAAATTATTCATTTTTTCAACCGTTCCACAGCTATCGTTCAGTTGTCAATTTTTCATAATTATTGTGAAGAATAAAGAACACTAAAAGGGAAGGCAATGCTTTATCTCAAGCTGATAGTGATATAAAAATGAATTAACGAACAATGTAGGGGGGATGAATCAAGCTTTTATACAGAATGGTCAAATAAAAGTCCGCGATAGCATATATCTACCTCTTATGTGGTAGCCACTGCAAAATACTGATCCAATTGAATTGGATGCTTTTTTACAATACACATTTTAGAATATCTATCAAATTCTTATAAAAATGTATTCAGTAATCGTTCTAATTATTGAATATAAATAAACTTTGTCTTTTACACCAAGTAATTTGGACGGATCGTTTAAAAGTTATCACTACAAGATTAACTTGACGCAACGCAGTAAGCCATTAAGCGTCGCGTCTTCTGTAAGACGACGGGGGACGATGCGCGGGGGCAGAGGGGCGGTCTAAGCAATGAAGCGATATCGCCGAGAACGCGACTCGTACGCGACTCTTATATTAACGTACAACCGAAGCTACTGAACCTAAAATCTTGAATTATGCAGGTAGGTTCTTTGTATAATGTAAATAAGCAACAAGAAAGGGAATCAGGAATTGTATTGAATTTCGTCAGTTTTGAAGTTGGAAACCTGAAACTTTGGGTTATAAAAAAATATTGTAACTATTAGTTCAAAATGATCTGTCACGAAACTTAATGTGACAAATCAAATTCTACGCTGGCGACTAGTCCATAATAACTGGTTTCCACCCTACAATTAATAATATTCATTTATTGCATATTATATATTTCAGTTGCGTCAAATATGTGTTCGTGTACAAAGGTTTGTTACTAGTAAAAGGTAAATAGTTGATATCAGAATCATTTTCAGTAATTTGGAGGGATAACTATCTTCGGTCAATTCATTTTTCATAATGTATTGGTACCTATTCGAGAAAATTTTATAATTTGTGCTTCCTGAGCCACGTTTGATTCATTTCAATAACATCCTGGATATTTCATTGCTATTTGTCAACCAGAAAGGACTTGAATTCCTTGGGCTTGGGCCACACAACCTCAACCAGGAATTCAAATTCATGAAATTATTCGTATGCCGAACTGGAATGTTTACTATTGATACTGTCCTAAAAAACCCTCAATTGAAACTATGAATATCGGTACTACAGTTTCGTGAGGAATATTTTAGTAAATTTTCTACTCTTCAACGTTTCTACTAGATTTAATTTCAAACGCTTGGACAAATTATAGTGTTTGCGAATTAATCGATAATTATAAACTATATGAAAGTAGAATTAAATAACTAGTGTTACTTATTTTTTTCCCATACAGATCATCTTTTTAGTACGTTGAGAACTGCAGGCCACTAAATTTCTGTCTTCCTTTAAGACTGAGTCTAACGTAGCTTTCTCTTTTCGTTTATACATGGATAATATTATATAAATGCTGCCACTGCTAATGCTAATTATAAATCTCCATCTATACTGCATGAGCTAGATTGAAAAGCAATAACAAGTTAACATTAATTGCCAAAAGCTTATTGCATACAGCAATAAAAAGGAAAAATCGACAACAATAGTTGCTTAATATTGTCTCAGTACAAACGAAGCTCAAAAACAATCAGAAGAATTTATTCTCTAGAAATTCTTGAAGATACCAAGTCAAGTACCAGAAAAATATCGCAGACAACAATATTTGGATGCACATAAGTGAAAACACAAGACTCATCAATTATTTTTTCTGTTAATAAAGGAGCACATGACAAATGTTGCGGCAATTGGTCGTTTACATAGAAATTTCAAAATATACCAGATGTTCGCCACTAATAGGAAAAATAATATTACCCTTTACCTTTGTTGTTTTCTTCCTAAAAGTAATATTGAAAGTTGCACTATCAATCCTATCATTTTCTAAAAAATTTCGCAATAATTTACATCAATACAGATATACGTGTTAGTTGGTCACAATATTCAGAAATATTCAAAAACTTTGTGCCCGAAGAAAACAGGAAATAAAACATCTAAGACCTATTATTGGCAAGGAGAAGTATTTTCAGCTGATGAGATCAATCTCCTTAATTATTTCGAAAGCCTGTAAATAAATGAACTCGGCCAGGATACTTTTATCGATAAGCATTGGGTATCTTCATTATCGTTCAAACTATCCTTGCCAAACTCCTTCAATTTTGAATAGAGTTGGTGTCAAATGTAAGATTAAAGGATTAGAAATTTCCACACTTAATTCAAAAATTACGTCTTATTACCATGCAGATCTGTTTAACCTTCCTCATCTACACGTTACTGTGTTCTTGGATTTCCTTTTCAGACAATGTTGCTGGGGTTATGAAAAAATCCATAGTTGAAACTAAGAATCATAAATGTTGCGAAAATCTAGGAAAATACTTACGGTTGTAGCTACCCACAAGAGTAAAAAAGGCCATTAAGCCCGTTCTGTATTCAGAAATTAGTTTAAATAAAGATAATAGGTACATGTGTATTGTTCTTGACCTATTTTTCTCCATATTTGTTCAATTTTTTTCAGTCAATTGACAAAATTGGATTCTGGAAACTACATTCGGAAAGATCGAAATGGGTATTTTCGTATCATAGGAGAGTACATTGTCTTTCTACACATGAATAGTCCATGATTATAAATTTGAAAAACGAGTGGTATTACTCTGTTGAACCTCAGATGACCTTATTACACTACGACCTTGAGAAATAGCAATCTTTTACTTTTTTATTTGAAGATATAGAAGCCTAGCAGCTGTGAAGAAAATGTTCAACATCGAAAAAATATTTTTTTAAACTCTGTGGTATGTCTTCTTGTATGTCTGTTCGTCTATATGTCTGTTGAATGCAATGGTAAACTCAACTCGAGAAAGAAAAGACATAGCGATTTATAACTTTCACCGTTCATTGAGACCACAATCTACTTCAGAAGTTAAGATTTTGTCAAAAAACAAAGCTATTTTTTTGAAAACCTTCAAAATTTTCTATAGAATATCTCCAAAACGAGGGATATTAAAAAAATTCAAAATGATGAGGCATGTACATCAATGTGCCCTATGAAAAAATACGTTACATCGCAAAAGTTGATCATTGGAATTATAAAGTTATCGAGAGACCATTTTCATATCAAAGAGTTCTCCAAAAAATATTGCAACGTTTTAAAAAACACGTACAAACTTCTCGTGGCTTATTATTTTCAATTTTACCTCACAACACGAATTTCCATTTAGTGACAAACCTGGCAAATTTCAAAATCCAAACTACCTTGACCACATCGCTACGAACACGTAATGATGCTAGTACAAAAAATTTAAAAAAACATCGATTGACAAATTTTCAAGCAATTACGGGAAACCGAAAAATTGTTAAATGATACTTTTGAATCTGTCAGTAGAAACTTTTTAAATTTCCCTGTGTCAAATTGAAACCATTTGCAAACATTTGTTTTCATTTCTATAATTCCCAGAAGAATGTCAGTGTTCGCATAATTTTTTCTTCTAAACATTTTCAATGATTTCAATCTCCTCCTTAGTGTTTACATATACATTCATGTCTTTTTTTTTGGGAAAGAAAGTTTTTGGCTTTCTACTACTCCATCTGATACAAAAAAATGGATGAGAGAATCTTCCAAAGAAAGGAAGGTTGCATGATCTACACATCCATGTATAGAGTTACTTATTTTTAAATTGAATAATCCTTCCTTTCTTTGGAAGATTCTCTCATCCATTTTTTTGTATCAGATGGAGTAGTAGAAAGCCAAAAACTTTCTTTCCCAAAAAATTAATCACTCCTAAAAATATAACCCTTTCAAATCAAACATTCATGTCATTTTTGAAGATTTTTGAGCTTTTTCGATCGATTGACAAGTTTCGAAAATGTAAATTGACAGATTTAAAGAATGTCAATAACATCAGATCTCAACAAATTTGAAAAGTGTCTCTTACTGATTTGAGAAGTTGAGAAAGTGGCAATTGACAGATTTGAAAAGTGTCAATTGAGAGATCTTCATGAGTGTGTCAAAGAATGTTTTTGGGTTGTTTGCCATGGTCTACAGGTTCTAAAAGTGTCCATTCACAGATGAAATTCTAAATTAACAGATTTGAAAGGTATCAGTCGACAGATTTGCAAAGTGTCAAATCACATATTTGAAAAATTCGATTGACAGATTTGAAAAGTGTCAATTGACAAAATTCAAAAGTGTCAATCGACAGTTTTGAGGTTTGAAAACTGTCAGTTGGGGGGACTTTTCAAATGTTTCTGCATCAGCACCACTACGCCCTCGTGCGTCGCCGCACCAAAGGACAAAACCAATTCCACCAAAATTCAAACTTACCGCCTGTGGTTTTTTAGGAGACCTAATCGGCGGCCGGTGCACCCCATTTATTTTGTTGTACAAACCGCACGCGTTACAGAGATAATGACCGGTACCGTCCCTACGCCAAAGGGGGGTGACACTAGCGCCGCAATTTACGCACTCTTTCACTTGTACCTCTTGACTGGCCCGGTGCCCGTCGTCCAAGCCGCCGCCACTGGACCAGGCCGTGTTCACGTACGCCCCCCCATACGCCTGGGTGCTGTCCGCTGGGTGCAGGACGTTGGGGTTATTCTGGTAGAACTGGTGGTAGGTGGCGCTGCTCGTGGAGGGAAATGTGGAGTAGACGGTTTCGCTGGACGGGTTGAGGAGGCTGACTTGGGTTTGCGTGGACGGTTCGTAGTCGCCCTGAGAATAAGAGAGGGTTGTTAGAAGCAATGAATCATAAACGACCATTAGCTATTAGTTGGCACTACTGAAATCCTAGAAGTTATACATTAGAATCAGCAGCAATACGGAGTTTGATGCCGCAATTAGTTGACGTATCATTGATGTAGCAAAATAATTTCGAGTATTGTCCCTTCTGTGTTTTGGTTGGTTTCCGGGTTTTGCCGTGATCTTCTTTGGTTATTATCTTCAAACGTTCCAACTACAACTGTGGCAGTCATCTTCAGTGGAGTGGTCGAAGTACTCTTCTTAACGTATCAACTGAAACTGTGCTGATTTTTCGCACACTTTTCATAATGGCGGTTTCGCGCCTAGTTTGTTTTGGCGCTTTATATTGCTGTGTGCCACATCTTTTGTAGATATGTTCTCTCTTCTTTTCTGTTAAAGTTTTCTTGGTGTTTGTGTATATCTATGACTTCTATTTTATTCTTTTCTTGTTGAATAATGATTCGAAGTTGCTAGCCTCTTGGGATCTTGTGTTTCCCGTCGAACACTGAATGTTAGATTTCTAAAGAAGGATAAAATTAACACCGTCTGCAAACCAACAAAGAAGATTTTGGAGTATCTGAGATTAGCAGAAGACAGCGTAGATCCACTAAAATCAGCGGGAGTTCATAGGATTCCATGAAACTGTGATCAAGTCTTCATCGATCAAATGAAAAGAAGCATTGATACCCGCCTAATCGAGCACAAACGAACTTGCTGATTGGGACAGACCATGAAGTCTGCAATAGCTGAACATGCAGGGTCTGACGGGAAACACAAGATCCTGTTCGAAAATACCAAGAGGCTAGCAACGTCGAAATATTATTCAACAAGAATGTATCTAGAAGCCATAGAAATACACAAACACCAAGAGAACTTCAATAGAAAGGGAAGTGAAACACATGTTGCAGTTTTGTGAACTGTTCAATGGAAATTTCACAATGATGTGTTTGAATACGCTGTGGACTTTCATCAAGTATATGCACCACGATACCGTTGACCCCAAACTATAGAGGGTCGCTTGTGGGGACCTCTTCTGTTTCTGCATCAACCTAATTCTTTGTTTCAGCAAAGGCTTAGCGTAACCAACTCACTGTCGATATGGGCCTTCACAGCTCACCTATTAGCATTGCGAACTTTGTAATAATCCTGACATATCAGTACAATAAAATAGCACTTACTTGATACCTAGAAGACCCCAAATTGGGATCGTTCCTATACAAAACCGGTGGAGAACTATCCACGGCTCCTCTCTCAGTGTACAGGGTCTGGTACTGATGCTGTTCCATATACTGCGAAGCATCGGTGTATCCGTTATTGTACTGAGCAGTCTGCAAGTTGGTGTAGTCTCCTTGATGTTCCAAGTCACTAGAGATAGTAACTGATGTCATGCTGTTATCTATTGAGTATAACTCTGAGGAGTAGGTGCCGGAAGCTGTGTAAGTATCCGGTACCTCGACCGAATAAGTCTTTATGTCTCGTTGGGTGATAATCTCTTGGTATGATCCCGATTCTGGAGACTCAATTTTGTGCGTCACAGGACTTTGTTCTTGTGGAGTTGACGTAGAGGTGTTAACTATTTCTTCGCCTGCTGCCTCTGGAGGCTGTTCGTCGTAATTTTCAACTATTGTTCCAGCAGTTGTGATGAAATTTCGTTTGATGACGGTGGATGATGGTGGCGGTCGTTGTTGAGGTTGTTGCTGCGGTTGTTGTGGTTGCTGCTGGTTTTTGTCTTCATCTGAGTCAGCTTTTGGTTTGACGTCTTTGACTTCTTGTTCTTCGGCCGGATCCATTTTACTGTGAAATATTTTTTAATGAAATAAATAGTATGAGGGCACATTATTAGGTGTATTTTGACATTTTGATCATAACAGACTGAACGATCGATTTTCTTTTGCTATTGTCCAACCCGTGTTAGGAATCACACGTTGAAATGTAAGACCTAGCACAAGTTTCGACTTTTGAAGGTTGTCGTTTGTAGGGGTGCGACAGTGCGACAGCTGGTTGACGGTAAAGGATGTTTAAAACATATTTTTTCATATCGTCTCGAAGGTTTGCCAAGACCATAACATCCAAAGGGGAAGACAAGCCTTCATGGAAGGTTGTTCCACTGGTCTGAAAATTCCAGTTGGAAAAGGTCGTTATCTGATAATCACTCACATAGAGAGCAATGAGGGATTCGTGAAAGATGGATTGATGCTGTTTGAATCGAAGAAAAATGGTGATTATCATCAAGGACTGGATGGCAGAATATTCGAAGAAGGGTACAACAAAAAACTTGTGAAAGTTCTGCAGGGATACGTAGTATTAATGGATAAAGCAATTCATTACAGTAGACGAGTCGTGCTGGAGGAAGGCAAATATTACTGAGTGGTTATAAATAAAAGCTATTCTGAATCCCTGTAGACTTTTTTCAGATTACAAATTATCGCAATATCTTTTTCGATGTAAGTATTACCAATAAATCTATGAAATTGTTTCTGAATCAGCCATAAAATCCAGTTGAAAATGTGAATCTTCATTTCCAAACTAGATTGAGGCTTCGGCATCAAGTCACAAAACCCAAAAGTGTATCTCTCAGTACAGTCATACTTTTCTACTTCTTGAAAATGGGTTCAAAGTCGAAACCGAAACGACAAACAGTAAAATTTTGAGCTCGAAATTCAGATCTTCAAATCTCTAACCACGAAAACCTATTCTATTTGTATACTTATCTGGTGACATTTCAAAGACTTTATCCATCTTTATTATTAAACATACCATCTATTTGATATTATCAGTGTTAATAATAATAATATCACATTGATTTACATCAAAAAACAAATTATAACTCAAATTATAATTTTTTGATTTGAATAGGTTGGATAAAGAAAATGGATAGTCTTATAAACGTCACCAGATAATACATATTTATTTTTATACGCAAAATCTTATAAATTCCAGTTACTGACCAATTAGATTTTTTTCTTTCTTGAAATTCTCTCACTCTCAGAAAATACGGAATGTACTATAACATCTTCATCTATCTGTTTCATAACAGAATGTTGATCTAGTTTGCAGTTATTTTCTGATCATAACTCAATCTTTTCAAATAATGACACACAGTTGAATCCATTTTCACCAAAAACCGTACCTCTATGAGTCAAAATGAATCGGAAGGTACGATGAAAGTATATTTGAACAACATATCCGTTTCCCGTACGCGTGGCTAGAATATTTTCCTTTGTGAAAAATACTGTAATTTTACGCAGTAACTTATCGGGGTAAACTAAAAAGTTTGCCCTTTCTACACTTGTATAAAGTTCTCCCATATAATTTTCATATTTTTCTGATTGCAAAAGGTGAAAATACCCAAAAGATCGATAAAAAACTGATTTTACTCCACCAAAAATGACGTTCGTTCAATAAAATATCGTTATTAAGTGAGATCGCCCTTATTGAAAATCCATCATTGAAAGGAAAGTAAGAAAATCATCTTTTGTGAACCGGTGTCTTTGAACTGAAACTGAATCAATTAGCCTTCTGAATAATATTTCGATATACTGCGTTTCAAACAAATAATAAGACGTCCAATTCTGAAGAAGAAAAATATTTTTGGTTGAATTATTTCAGATAATTTTTCAATATTCCAGATAAGAACAAATCCTGAAAAAGGTGTCAGCATCGATCAATTTCAGAAAACGGTTAGATGTAAATATTTTAAAGATTATTGCCTCGGATGAAAAAATTTCACAGAAATGTTCATATCACCGTATTATGAAGAACAAATAATGTTTCACAATTGTGGAGGTTAAAAAATAAATTATAACTGGTAATTTGAGTAAAACGGTAATCACTTGGAAATTCTAATTTGTTTGTTTCATATAATACTGCTTGTTTTCCACAAAGGAATGTAAACTTCATATTGGGAAAGTGTAATCATTTCAGTTTTAAATATTAAGTAGGTTGGTTTTGAAAATTCCACGCAAACACGTTTCAAACCCAACTTGAAAAACAAGAACGTTCAGTACTGAATCTGTCGTAAAACATTGAAACAACACGAAATAAGGTTGAATTCAGCCTTACTTTATTTTAGTCATGCTATTTGGAAAGGTTTAGAAACGCTAGAAGCGTTATACCCTTCATAATTCTTATTATTTACCCAAATTGTTTGCACAGTAAAACAAACAAAAAGCTGTTACAATTGCTTAAACGGTATCACATATTTTATTTATTTCAATAACGTGGATGGATTGGTAGACACAATTACACTTGTGAAATTGGTGGGTTTTTTATAAAATTTTACCTTACTTCATAAATCGTCAATTGACGTTTCATAATCATTTCATTATTTTGTCTTCTAGTGTAATATTATTGCTGTCTCACTATCTTGAACTTTTCTGTTGGTTTGCTATCAGAAAATAATACGAAAGAGTATTTTTAATTTCTATGTTTCCTAAAATCGTTAGTCAATCGATCTTCTTGTAGTTTCTTATGACAAATTATAGCTTTCGCTGTTCGATTCTATTATTATGTTTGCTGATTTGAATTTCCGAACGTTTCCCCTCTATGTATGGTTCACATCTTCTAAAGTGAATCGGCTGATGATTATTTCTAATAGTCCAGTCATCTTAGTAAGTTCACACCGGAATTTAAGATACCAAGCCATAAACTCGTTTGAACTTGTATTTTGACATCCTTAAACTTGTGTCGAAAACTACATATGACAGGGTGTATGCGACCATCAAAATCTAAGATCAAAGTTGACAAAAATCGATTTTTTTGCAAATATCTCGTTTCCTATGGGTTTTCCGTATATCAACCTCTTGTACGTCCACACGAAATTGTTCATCGAATGCAGGAAAGTGATACAAGCTGCAACGATAGTGGTAGCGAATTTTAAGACACAGAAAGACCAAAACCATTCAACCAAGAGGATCTAAATGATCTCGGATTATCTAAAGCTTCGTCAGAACTTCTAGCTCCTCGATTGAAAGAAAGAAAGGTCACCAAAGAAACGAATGTCTCATTTTACCGCACTATGAAAAAGAAATTACTTTCTTTGTTTTCTGAGGCGAACGATTTTATTTTTTGCAATAATATTCCGGGATTAGTGACTGAAATGAGATACGACCCTATTGATTGGCGTTTGTTTATAGATTAGTCAAAACGCAGTCTTTAATGTATTTAATTGTACTTTTACATTATGGCAATAGTCTTGGCTCTTTGCCTATTGCTCATTCATCATCCAAAGGTAAAGAAGAATATTCCAGAATATCTCTGGACAAAATCAAATACACAGAACACAACTGGCTCATATGCGTGGACTTGAAGATAGTTAACTTCCTTTCGAGCCAACAAAGCGGTTATACAGAATATCTGTGTTTTATTTGCTTGTGGGTTAGGTTAGGTCCAAAGTGAGTGGGTCTATGCGATCCTCCACCGCAACTCGCAAGGGTATATGGTGGCTCACACTTTTTCACACTCGGCCAAATGAACCTTGCTTCTTAACGAAGCCGATTAGTTTGTATGGTGAATGGTCTTTCAGGTCAAATGTTAAGAGTACGGCTCTGCCGTTTTGAAGACCTAAGTCGGTCCCCAGCGGGGCAGGCACAAAGTATATGCTCTGTTAATGAGGTAGTCGGATAGTCAAGTTGCAAGATTCCCACCTTGATACCCACGACAACCTTCCCATATGTCAGCTACACCTGACGATGCCTTAGATTAAGCCGTGCAGGGCTTTTTCGCCTCTGGTTTTGGTGAATCATAACTTGAGCGCAAACGTTTGCTAACCTGCTCATGGAGTGTTTTCCCCCCCGCCGCTCAAGAATTTGGTGCAAGGCGGTTTTGTAAGGTACCCGCTCTTGAGGAGACGATTCAGTCGTTTCCTGGCTGCACCACCAAACCATTTTTCAAGGTTCAGTTGTTGGATCAAGAGTTGGGGAGTTGAGAAGCTCTCGCTCCTGAACTAACTTTATAGAGAGGTCAGTTGGAGTCGTAAACTCAACATCCATCTCCTCTGTAGATTCACTCCTGAACTAGATTCGCAGGGAAGTCAGTTGGAGTCGTAAACTCGACATCCATCTCCTCTGTAGACTCGCTCCTGAACTAAATGTACAGGGAGGTCAGTTGGAGTCGTAAACTCGACATCCATCTCCTCTGTAGACTCGCTCCTGAACTGAATTTACAGAGAGGTCAGTTGGAGTCGCAAACTCGTCACCCATCTCCTCTGTAGACTCACCCCTGAATTTAATTTACAGGAAGGTCAATTGGAGTCATAAACTCGACATCCAACTCCTCTGTAGACTCGCTCCTGAACTAAATTTACAGGGCGGTCAGTTGGAGTCGTATACTCGACATCCATCTCTTCTGTAGACTCGCTCCTGAATGAATTTCACAAAGAGGTCAATTGGAGTCGTAAAATCGACATCCATCTCCACTGTAGACTCGCTCCTGATCTAAATTTACAGGGAGGTCAGTTGGAGTCGTAAGCTCGACATCCATCTCCTCTATAGACTCAGCGTCAGAAATAATGTTTGAGTTTACTCTGTCCATAAAAGTCCCACGTGTAGCTAGGAAAAGAAGGTCAATCACGACAGAGCCCCGCATTACCGTTACAAGGCGATGCTATGACGAGAGGACGCCCGGTATCTCGAAGGTTCCGTAGAGGCAGCTGATAGGCTCAGTGTCATTCATCCTCTCGGCACACACCTAAGGATTGAGCCATCACTGGAATGCCATTCAGTTAGGGAATAACAAAACCACAAGTGATTCTGTCATTACCGTATCCAGCGGGGCTACGTGGACGCAGGCAACCA